GTATCGGCGATACAAAGCGGTACGCAGATGAGACTAATGCGTGTTATATTAAGGACATAGTATTCGACAGCTATTAGAATTTTTAATTCAAACTAGAGGTCGCGCAGTAGTCGAAATTCGACTATAATTATTTGAAATTGTAAGTTTGTACACTATTATGATTGTATTTTATACTTCTATAATCACAAATTTCGCCAAGACTACACTATAGAAAAATATTAATAAAGACAAATAATATTTAATCTATTCTCAATTTAACCACAGACGTCAAGAAATGTTTGAGAATAAATAGTATGCATGCGTGTGTGCGTCAAATACATGGTATGTAGTGTGTGTAATGTTTTCTTTATTGATTTAATGTATCTTTTATACATTATTTAAAAAAATATTAGCATTGTGCACTTCTTCTCTATATTCTCTATAAGAGTGGAAAATATCATACTCCCTCGTCCGCGCAATCTTCGTAAAAAGGGATACAAAGTTTTTGCTTCACGTATTAATATATAGATGATAAGGTTATTTTAATGACATACGTTTTTAATGGCATATGTTTTTGATGACACGTTTTTAATGACATGCGTTTTAATGGCATACGTTTTTAATGACATGCGTTTTTAATGGCATACCTTTTTAATGACACGTTTTTAATGACATACGTTATTAATGACGAAAATTAATAATACTGTTAAAGCGTATGAGACCCTTAAAAGGGACTGAGTTAGGTGAAATTGTTTTAGTACGCGATAATAATATCATAAAGTCCACGACTCCCAGTCCTGAAGATCTTGATGCTCGAAGGATGACGACGCAGATGCAACATTGATCTCCTCGAGTTACTAGTTCCAGATCATGACAGAAATACTTCAAGACAGAAATGGGTGGGTTGGTGGTTCGTACCCGTTTGGATGGACAAACTTACCCAGTCACGGAGTGTCTACCCTATAATACCAAAATCGTATTTTTTTTTCACGTTCCTTTATCGTGGTGAATCTTCGCGAACATGAGCTATGTCCGCATTTCAATAAAGAAATTAATAAACAAAATTATAAAATTTGCTGGTTTGGTTTCATTGCATGTGCAATATTGTTACATATATTAACGACTAGCTGACCCGGCAGACTTCGAAGTGCCTCAATCGATAAATAAAAGACCTAAACTTTTGTATAAAATAAACTTCAAGCTCACAAAAGGAATCCGTCCGACGGGGGACACATCAAAGGAAAAACAAAATTGTTTATTTTTATTTAATTCCGAGCATTTTCATATTTATTTACCTTTTAAACCTTTTCTGGACTTTCACAAATAATTCAAGACCAAAATTAGCCAAATCGGTCCAGCCGTTCTCGAGCTTTAGCGAGACTAACGAACAGCAATTCATTTTTATATATAGAGATAGTTCGTAAAGATAAGTTTGATTACAGAGTGTTAGAGTTTTTTGTCGTTAAAAATTCTATCTGATGATATTGCATGGTTGATAGCATAATAGAAATGCTTTAATTTGGAAATCTTCAAGCCTCTTACTATTAAGGATGTGAACGATACTCCACAGCAGACGCCTTGTACCAAATATGTTTTTTTTATTTTATTGCTTAGATGGGTGGACGAGCTCACAGCCCACCTGGTGTTAAGTGGATACTGGAGCCCATAGACATCTACAACGTAAAATGCACCACCCACCTTGAGATATAAGCTCTAAGATCTCAGTATAGTTACAACGGCTGCCCTACCCTTCAGACCGAAACGCATTACTGCTTTTTTATTTATTGCTTAGATGAGTGGACGAGCTCACAGCCCACCTGGTGTTTAGTGGTTACTGGAGTCCATAGACATCTACAACGTAAATGCGCCACCCACCTCTTGAGATATATTATAATTTCTAAGGTCTTCATGGCAGAACATAGGCAGGGCGGTGATACCTACCGGCGCGGACTCACTAGAGGTCCTACCACCAGTAAAGATGGTGTATTTAATGATGAAGTATTTAAAAAGATGAGCGTCTAATACAATGTCTATAACAGTGAGTATCCTAGCAGCCCATCACAACTTTGAACCTTCGTATTTTAAGCTTCCGCGTAGGCGTAACTTTTGCATTTATTTCGCGTTAACCAAAATAAAAACTTTTGCCCTAAAACAATATAAAATCGTCTTCCAATTCAGATATAACAATAAATTTTACACCGAAACAAGAAAGTTCCGTTTTTGTTGTTGTCTAGTGTTATTTGATGATAGGTATAAAATCATCGGTCTATATTGGAATATGGCTCCGTCACTTGGAATCCCCAATATAATATTTATATTGAGCGACTAGAAAGAGTCCAAAAAAAGTTTTTTAAGCATCTTTTATACCATTGTCGTCGCTTTAACTCTCCAGAAGGAACCGACAGAATTTGTCTCTCTAGTCGATCGTAGGCTACTGAGGGATCAAATGTTTTTATATAAAATAATAAATAACGAGATTGATTCTAGCTATCTTCTTTCCAAAATTGCATTTAAATGTAGTCGTATTTCCGCGCGTTCTAAACAGACCTTCCACATGTCCACGGCTCGAACGAAATATGCTTCTAACTCTTTTGTCCGTAGATCTTGTAGGTTGTATGATGCTAAGTTGTCTAATGCTGACATATTTTGCTTGCCACTTGTAGCATATAGAAAAGCTATTTTAAAATATTTATAAAGTGATTTAGCCCGATAAGTATTATAGTCTTAAAGTGTAAGTTGATGTATAAAATAATATGTGCTTATTGTATTGCTTTTGTTATTTTGTAATTTAAATTTCTAAATTTCTCTTCTTGTTCACTGTCTACTTATATGTGATTTTGATTGTGGAAACATATTTGGTTATTGTTTTAGCTATAATTTTTTTAAATATTATATGTTTGTATCGTACTGTATGTTTGCCAAATAAATAAATATCACTCAAATGGCGATGGGCTGATCACCTGGTAAGAGGACACGACAAATGGAACAAAAGGGTGATATGGTGGTACCCAAAGGAAGGCAAAAGAAAAAGATTGTCGATAATCCCATTCTCACGGATCGCTTGGAGCCTCTGGGTCTGCGGAGGGACTTCGGTTCCCTCTGTATTTTGTACCGCATGTTCCATGGGGAGTGCTCTGAGGAATTGTTCGAAATGATACCAACGTCTCGTTTTTACCATCGCACCGCCCGCCACCGGAGTAGAGTTCATCCATACTACCTGGAGCCACTGCGGTCATCCACAGTGCGTTTCCAGAGGTCTTTTTTGCCACGTACCATCCGCCTATGGAATGAGCTCCCCTCCACGGTGTTTCCCGAGCGCTATGACATGTCCTTCTTCAAACGAAGCTTGTGGAGAGTATTAAGCAGTAGGCAGCGGCTTGGCTCTGCTCTTGGCATTGCTGAAGTCCATGGGCGACGGTAACCACTCACCATCAGGTGGGCCGTACGCTCGTATGCCTACAATGGCAATAAAAAAAAAATAAAAAAAAGCGGCCGACCACAGAAAAGGTGGGACGATGACGTTAGACAGAAGTCAGTGGCAGAAGTCACATGGAACAGAGTGGCTCAAGAAAGAAAGGAATGGAAAAGGTTGGAGGAGGCCTTTGCCGACTGGCAAACAGATCTAGGAAAGATAAACAAGCAACAAATATTAATTTAAATTATAAAATATTATATATATATATCTATTAAGTGTAAGATTTTAATGCTATTCTTTTACATAAGTTTAAAAATTCATTGTACTAAGAGATCTGAATAAATGGCTATATTATTATTATTATTATATATAATCATAAGGTTGCTATAAAAATGAATAAATGCCAAAATTCTGTCAGTTTTCTTTTCATATTACATTAAATAACGATTGATTTATATTTAACAACGTTTTAATGAGTATTTAATATCATCTTCACAAAGAGTATAATAATTATCATTTTCGCAGATTTAATAACAATTGTACACTAGAGTTCGCATGGTTTGATGATTGGAACAAATTCGCTTACACGAAAAAATGCCAAATTTCGGCCGTTTTCAAATTTGGGGCCAAAAGCGAGTTATTTAATGTTACCGTAATTATAAGTACAGTAAATTTAATGTCATGACAACAGAGACGTGATCCTATAACTACATATTTGTGAACACTGTTAAATTTGCGTTAGGCAGCGGCTAGGCTCTGCCCCTGGCATTGCTGAAGTCCATGGGCGACGGTAACCACTCACCATCAGGTGGGCCGTATGCTCGCCAGCCTACAAGGGCAATAAATTTTTTTTAGGAATTATACAGTAAAAACTACCCCAAATCTCATTCGTATCACTGGGTCGAAATTCAAATTCTAACTTGTTTGCTATTTTTCCAATAATGCGTGTTGAAATTCGGCTATTTTAGTTAATCAGTATATATTAAATAATAAAAGAAAACTAACTGGATATTAGAACATTATTAAATACAAAAGAAATACGATTTCTAAGCTTTTTTAAAAAAAATGCGTGCGTACAAAGTACTCATGTCAGAAGTGAAACTTCTTTGGCGAACTAATTTATAAGTCTTGCTTATATTTATACAAATCTAAAACTTTAGATTTCCGAGACTTAGAGGAAGGGAAAAAGGAAGATATGTTCGCGCCAAAAGTCTGTCAAATGTCAATCTCAAACCTCAGTGTTGACAGTCACATTATGTTTAGATTTCTAAATTGTAAATGACTAATATTTTGCCAATTGAATTGACTAATTTAATTTCATGCTATTTGATTAATGTTCCAAATTCTTTTCATTTAATCTCAATGCCTATTAACATTTTTTCACAAAAAATTTATAAAATATTAGGCTGTATGGTATGATACATTTGCCTTCCCAGTTGGAAAAATACAACAACTACTACTACTGACATTTGACAAGTACTTAATTTCAATAGTAGTTTGACGTCACTTCCTTTGCGTACCTGCGTAACGTTACATCTGTAAAAATTTTACCCTCATGCGCCTAAAGAAGTTTCACTTCAAAAAGTTCCTATTTAGATTGTCATACGTGATGGCGTTATCAAATTTGTATTTAAAATGAAAAAATATAAATGAATATTATATAATATTATCAATAAATCAGTGATTGACTTGATTGTAATGAAGCATTTCTTATTCAGAACACGCCTAAATACAAAATACAAAAAAAATGGAAAAATAGAATAGAAAGTTTAAATTCATGAGATCGTTATATTTTTCTACCGCAAAATTGAAAACGACCCTATTACAAAATGATGGTCATAACTATTGTTACTCGATAGCAATCAATAAAATAACAAATCTAATAAATACTATAAGATCTGTTCTTTTTGTTCAGGACCCAGCCTCTGAAGTAGTCTAAGTTGATGAAATCAGTGGGATCGCTAGAGTCGCATCTTAGTGTCGAATCGTTCGTAGCAACGATTCCGTGGATGTACCACGCTCCGGTGCTATTCAATTCACGGGAATCCGGAACAAACACCATGAATCCGCTACCAACTAGTTTGCAGGCTTCGGATTCTACAAAAAAAGGGAGTCATAAAATATCAGTGACATAAAAAAAAAAAACTGGTGGTAGGACCTCTTGTGAGTCCGCACGGGTAAGTACCACCACCCCGCTTATTTCTGCTGTGAAGCAGTATTGCGTTTCGGCTTGAAGGGTGGCGCAGCCGTTGTAACTATACTGAGACCTTAGAACTTATATCTCAAGGTGGGTGGCGTATTTACGTTGTAAATGTCTATGGGCTCCAGTAACCATTTAACACCAGGTGTGAGCTCGTCCACCCATCTAAGCAATAAAAAAAAATATATCAAGTTCAAAACTCTCATTAAGATTAGCTGTGAAAGAAAAACTGTACCCAAGTTATAATCGAATCTTTTTTATCATAGATTTTCAAGTCCATTCTGACTAGCAATTAGTAATTATCACTGGTACTATTAAAATTCAAAAGTTTATATCTAGTGCACTAAAATCAGTTATGATAAGTTCAGAAAATTCAAAGACATATTTGAACCTGAATATAGATAGGTATAGTTTTAGGTAAAACAGAAATAGTATACTATCGAAAACTTACGACACCATGTGTGGCATTGCCTAAATGGAGTCTTGGTTTTATTAAGCAAGGTTTTATTAGTCAGTGATAATAAAACCTACCATTGGGCTTACGTTCCACCAGTAGTACTCAATATAATGCAAAGAATTAGGGAACTATTAGGGAAATGGGGAAATATAATAATATCTCTTAAGGAATTATGGAAATCAAGAATTAGCGCTTAGAACTGTTAGGTGTGAATTGGATTGAAAATGGTAAATTAACGGATGAATTTTGAAGAAACCAAAGTCTCATACCCGAGCTTTCTGGTGAATGGCAAAACCATGTTTGACCATGAGATCGTTTCAGTCAAAGCGCATCAGACAAACACGACAATAATTGTATGATCCTTAATCCTTTGAAAGCACGCGGGTAGACGGACAGCTACCATAAACTTTATTGTTCCACTTACGATTGATAGATGTGGCGTTGAATTTGGATTCAAATGTTTCCTCCCTATAAACATTTACTTCTTTAGAAGACTTAAGCTTTTTCATATTCACTACCTCGAGACCTTCATCAATATCATCGCCGAGAGTTGTGCTTATGACCTGAAAAAAAAAAGTTGTTTATTTGCTGGCGATGGTAGACATGGCCCAATAAATTGGAAGCCAACCAACAATAGCATTACGGTAGTTGAGATGAGACTAATTTAGATTTGTTTTGGATTTCATTTTACATTTCTTTGTACCCATGTTGTTTGGTGTAAGCAGTATCTATACCCTTGTTCCGTACTATGGTGTACAATGCCTCTGGTTTTAAAACTGAACAAGGACAATCCAGATTGTAAACCATACGCGCTACCAATAAGTCGTAATCAACTTCCCAGATTAATATCTCTACATCTAATACACTCTCTATCCTACGGGAAAATATTTTATGGAACATGAGAGCCGTTAAAAATAAATCACCCTCACAGAATTATTGCTACTCGGGACGTATGATTGGCATGGAATGTTAATGTTTATAAAGATGCCTAAAATTGGACTGCATTTTGTTTTCTTTTTTTCGCTTTGACCAGATAGTAGCCACTATGGCACAAAGCCGCCGTGGGCTAATGGATAAGACGTCCGGTATATTCGGGTTGAGCGATGCACCGATGTTCGAATTTCAGGCGGGTACCAATTTTTCTAATGAAATACGTACTCAACAAATGTTCACGATTGACTTCCGTGGTGGAAATTATAATTTGCGTAATTACTAATGGTAGGACCTCTTGTGAGTCCGCGTAGGTGGGTACCACCACCCCGCCTATTTCTGCTGGGGAGCAGTCAAGCGTTTCAGTTTGAATGGTGGAGTAGCCGTTGTAACTATACTTGTAACTATACTACTATTTTTTGTGGAAACATAAAAATTCAGATAAAAAAACGTTGAGATGAAGTTCGCATACAAAATTTTTGCAATGAACATTATGATACAAAGTTTTTTTTTCCACAGGAGAAAATCGCCGGATCCCCACCCGCATGGCGGTATGTTGTATGTGGGAGTTGAACCTCACTAAAAACTCCTGCCGCTCACAGTCGGAGCTACTGAGACGGCGAGACAGGGTTTATGCAGAACATATTACATCCATCCCGCCGTCCCCCAGACGCCGGACCGGCGGCCGCCAGTGACACGACCGCCGGTTCCCTCGATCGACGGGCCAAGAGCCCGCATTGATGGTGCCGCGCTTAACCTTCTCCCGGAGCGGTCGGGGGAACGCGGTCCACCACGCCGCCCCACGCCTAGGCTCCTTCCCGCACAAAGCGGGTGGAGCCCGAAGTTCTTAGGGGGCCGGGTTACGGATGGGATCTCGGTCCCGACCTCCTGCTCGGCGGCGGCGGATTTCTGCGTAGTGAGGAGAGCTTTGACTCACTCGCCCCGCCGCCTCCTTCTGCGAGATGGTGCACTCGCAGAACTCGAGCATAGCCTTCCAGGACTCGTCACCGCCAAGCATCGACGCCACGACGCCAGGCAGCGACAAGTCTGGTCCTATCTTTGCGACCAGGATACGGCACTGCACCTCCCAAGCGGGGCAGACAGCGAGCGTATGCTCCGCCGCGTCCAGGTCGTGTCCACAATGGTGGGCCTCGTCGTCGGCTCAGCTCCTATCCAGTGCAGGTACTTTCCGAAGCATCCGAGCCCAGTCAGCACCTGCACCAGACGGAAGGTGGGGCATCCTCTGTCACGATTCACCCACTCATCAAAGACTGGGTAAACCGCCTCGACGGTCCGTAGACGGTAACCTACGGCGGTTGGTAACCCACGTGGGGTTGATCAACCGCCTCGACCACGATTCGAGCACGGACCGCCGAGAATGGCCCTCCGCGCCCGCAGCTCACTTTTGGAGGGATGCGCCACGCCCAGAGCACGAAGCTCGCTGTGCCACCGATAGTCGGCAGCGAGCGACTCCGCCTCCAGCTCCCATGGCGGCGTCCCCGCCAACACACACGCCGTCTCGAATGAGACGATGCGATATCCACGGATGACCCTGATAGAAACGATGCGCTGCGGCCGGCGCAGGAACCGAGCCATAGCGGCCCGATGATACAAAGTTAGAACCACTTTAACGATTTAGTTTTGCGTATTTTTTTATAGTCTTAACCTTGCTTCCAACGCTTAAATAAGTTATTACAGTTTTCGTGGTCGTGTAAAATTAGTTTTAATTATGTCTATGACTCTTGATACTATGTCACGAATTCTGAAGCCGACACGTGCTAAGTAGGCAGCGGATAAATAAATATACTCACAGATCCCTTGATGTCTTTCAAATTTAACTTCTTGTATGCGCTGAATTCCCACAGACACGCAGGTTGGACTTTTTCGTTAAACACCACATCGTTCTTCAGTTCTAACAACGCAATGTTATTTGTTCCATTTTCATAATTGTATCCATCGTAAACAAATACTGTTTCCACCTGGAATATTATGAATTAGAGCAATGTTTTTTTTTTTCTATCAATAAAATACCATCTCCTGATTCGTTTTGCTTTGGAATGCTGTTTTGAACAACGCGAAATCTGAGAAAAATACGTCGTAAGTAGTACTAATGGAAAGAGAAGAATTTTATTTTAGAATTATAGCAATTTTTTATCTTTAATTTTTAAAAAACTGTGCAATTTTCAGGATCGATCGGTCACTTGTCACTCACTTCAGCTTCCGAACTCATCTCAAGCCTGGATTAGGATCCGAAAGATTTACGTTGTAATCTTTCGTCGTGACGGTGTCTGATTAGAGATCCGTAAAACAAATGACCAATAAATTGACTAACCTCCATTTCCTGTAAGCACTCATCACTTGTGTTATTAAATTTCCCAAGAACCACAGACAGAGTTGTGGCGTTCTTCGCAACGCCTAAGTTTGTGACGCATTGAGCGGCTAAAATCAAAGTTTTTCAATTGTTAGATTGTCATTTTACCATCTTACCTCTAGACGTAATCAGCGTTGCTTATTTCGGCAGTTTTAGGAGCATGATCAAGCAGGCATTTTTACTTGTTATCATATATATATTATAGAATAAAAAAGCTGACCAGCAAAAAAACCAGCTCTATCTAGTGAGACATGGAAACCACAGCTTGGGCAATGAGGCTTACCCCGGGGTCTGAATCGTGCCCCGTAAGGATTCCCGAGAAATCGAGGACTTTTCATGTATATTTTAGGATATATATCTACAGATGGGGTTACGCATTCTTTTGCCTCTAATGTCGAACTTTTACAAGGTTCGTGTGCCAAGAATGCGTGGGGCTATGTGCTCAATGGTCGAATATGGTAAACGCCTCTCACCCAACGCCCAATCTCCACTCAAGAGAGATCATCATCATTCTCCTGCCCTTCTCTCAGTTACCTGGGATTGGCGCAATATGTTTTCTCCTTTTATACTCCTCTATCATATACCATTATTTCGCTCACTCCCATTTTACACATATAGTCTTTCACTCAATCCATCCATTTTTTTCTTACGTCTACCTCTTTCTCTAAAGCCATTCATAATTAAAACTCTTTTACCACTTACCCCACTCAAGACAGATCCCGGGCAAAATTACGATTACGGAGCTTACCGCGGTCAGCACTGTGTATTATGTTATTATTATTAATTTTTATTTATTTACCTAATGGTTCGAGTATCTTCTTTGTCGAATGACTCTGCCAATGTTAGGTAGATAGAATATCAGTGATATAGTTAAATGATAGTAGACGAGACGAATGAGAACGGGAGAAAATTTGTAAATATTTTTATAGTTTAATATTAGTGCGGGAAATAAAATAAGCTAATGCATTTACAAATTTAGGTTAAGAGATAGTTCATATTAACTGGGAACGGGATGTTAGTGTTAGTTAGTACACAGTATAGTGGTGGGCGTTCATCATTAAGATCTATTGTGGGATTAAACCTCACCTGTCAAAACATATCTCTGTAATATCAACGTTCCAGCGCATATTGTAGAGTTGTCGTCTCTGATAAGAGCATGCCAGGGCATAGGTTCTTCGTTTTCACCGCATTGTTTTTCGGAGATTTTAATTCTTCCACAGTTGTCATCGTGTTCTGTATAAGTAGATGAGGCTGTTGATTTATATCCGTTGATATATTCGTCTAAGATTCCCTTGTGGAAAAAAATGTAATTTTTTATATCGCTTCTGTGTGTGGTTTGTACATTTGCTTACGGACAACCATTAAAGGCTGATTTAAAATTGAAATGCTGACGTGCCTTTTGGCGAAGAGAAAAAATCTAGCAAAAAATGAATAGACATTTAAATAGAAAACAAAATTATCTTAGAAGATTTTTTGATTTAAATACAGTACAACAATGTCCGTTAGCTTGGCGACTGGACTGCTTAAATATTATATTCTTTGTACTGTCTGTGTCGTTACCGTCACGTTACCATCATATGGATAAAGCTTTGGTGCCTATGCCAGCTACAGGCTCAGAATGGAATAAAAGAATGGAAGAAAACGACGGTCAGACAACTCTTAACATTGATGTGAATAAATACTATGTTGGCTTGTTTTCATTCTTTGATAAGTGGTTCCATTCGCCGTTGAAGGTCACGTCACAGAAAACGACAAACAATTGCGCAAATCACAATATTTGCGGGTCTGATTTTTATCACTCGATGTTATTCTTTTATACAAGTTGTTGGTGAACATGTGTCAAATAAATTTTTGGTTAGGAAATTTGATTAATGATATTGTCTGCGGGATTCGAACAGTCGTCTTGCTGGATATGAGTGCAACGGACGCCTTATTCATTAGGCCATAATAACAATATAGCTTGATTTAAGACTTTTGTACTTTAAATCGTTTAACAACCATAAGCCTTTAACTTCGACCAATTATTCTTACTCTTCAGAGTCTACCACCTCATCTGTATGTACGATCTATCACTTTTTTAATAACACTAGAGGCCCCGCAGTAGTCGAGATTCGACTATAATTAATTGGAATTGTAAGTTTGTATACTATTATGATTGTATTTTATACTTGTATAATCACAAATTTCGCCGAGACTACACTATAAAAAATATTAGCAAAGACAAACAATAGGTATTTAATCTATTCTCAATTTGACAACAGACGTCAAGAACAAAAGTTTGACAATAAATAGTATGCATCCGTGGTGCGTCAAATACATGATATGTAGTGTGTGTAATGTTTTCTTCATTGATTTAATGTATATTTTATTCATTATTTTAAAAAAATATTAGCATTGTGCACTTCTTCTCTATATTCTCTATAAGTGTGGAAAATTTCATACTCCTCCGTCCGCGCAATTTTCGTAAAAAGGGATACAAAGTTTTTGCTTCACGTATTAATATAACTAGTCAGGTCATAAGTATTGTCACACAGTAAAAACTTTTCTTTTAGAATGCTGGCCACAAAAATTTTTATTGAATTCGAATTTCGAATTGTTCATGAAAATAAAAATGTATACTTTTAGAATTTTACTCATTTTTAAATATGGAGTGGACGCTTAAAAAAGACCGTGTTGCAGTTATTGCGTTGCATCGTTGCGGTTACGCGCCAATTAAAATTTTTAACATACTGAAAAATTTGAATATAACCAAAAGATTCGTTTATCGTACCATCAAACGATACAATGAAGACTCTAGTGTAGATGACAGGCCAAGAAGTGATCGCCCTTGGTCTGTTAGGACTCCAGCAGTGATAAAAGCTGTGAAGGCGCGAATTCAAAGAAATCCCAAACGTAAGCAGAAACTGTTGGCCCTTCAGATGGGGTTAAGCAGAACCACGGTGAAAAGGGTGTTAAATGAAGACTTAGGGCTTCGGGCAAATTGAAGAAAAACAGGACATCGTTTGAATGCTTGTCTAATGGACCTGAGACTGAAGAGATGCCGCGCTTTGTTGAAGCGGTACGCAGGAAAAAAATATCGGGAAATTCTTTTTTCGGATGAAAAAATTTTTACCGTAGAAGAGAGCTACAACAAACAAAATGATAAGGTGTACGCACACAGTAGTGAAGAAGCGAACAACCGTATTCCGCGTGTCCAAAGAGGTCATTTTCCATCCTCGCTCATGGTATGGTTAGGAGTTTCTTATTGGGGCTTAACAGAGGTACATTTTTGTGAGAAAGGTGTAAAAACGAATGCAGTTGTGTATCAAAATACAGTCCCGACGAACCTTGTGGAACCTGTTTCTCATACCATGTTCAATAACAGGCACTGGGTATTCCAACAAGATTCGGCGCCAGCTCATAGAGCGAAGAGCACACAAGACTGGCTGGCGGCNTCCACTTACGATTGATAGATGTGGCGTTGAATTTGGATCCAAATGTTTCCTCCCTATAAACATTTACTTCTTTAAAAGGCTTAAGCTTTTTCATATTCACTACCTCGAGACCTTCATCAATATCTTCGCCGAGAGTTGTGCTTATGACCTGAAAAAAAAAAAGTTGTTTATTTGCTGGCGATGGTAGACATGGCCCAATAAATTGGAAACCAACCAATAATAGCATTACGGTAGTTGAGTTGAGACTAATTTAGATTTGTTTTGGATTTCATTTTACATTTCTTTGTACACATGTTATTTGGTGTAAGCAGTATCTATACCCTTGTTCCGTACTACAGTGCACAATGTCTCTGGTTTTAAAATTGAACAAAGACAATCCAGATTATAGACCATGCGCGCTACCAATATCAACTTCCCAGATTAATGTTAAAAGACGCTCGCTATCCTACGGGAAAATATTTTATGCAACATGAGAGCCTATAAAAGTGTTGGGCGACGAAAGTTAAGCATGAAAGAGGAGTGCATGCGGCAGAGATGCGAATGTTGAGATGGATGTGTGGAGTAACAAGAATGGATAAGATAAAGAATGAGTACATCAGAGGAAGTGTGAAAGTGGCCCCGGTAAACAACAAATTAAGGAGCGGACGGTTAGCGTGGTATGGACATGTGATGCGTAGAGAGAAGATGCATGTGACTAGGAGATGTATGGAAATGGTAGTGCAAGGTAGAGGGGGAAGAGGTCGACCGAAGAAGACATGGATGGAGTGTGTGAATGACGATATGAGAGAGAGAGGAGTGAGTGTTGAGATGACGGCTGATAGAAGAGAATGGAAGAGAAAAATTAGCTGTGCCGACCCCACATAGTGGGATAAGGTGGAGAAAAAGAAGAAGAGATACATCTATAAGCCCAATTTCACTCCACTAAGTTTCAAGACTGAAACATACCAGGGTTCAATCAGAACAAAACGCAAACTGAGTGAATTTAAAAAATTCATGTTTTAGTATAGGTAATAATAATAGTGACCGACGTTAGCGCCAACAGATAACCATTTTGATTTTTGCAATACCTATACCACGTTTCTTAAATGTACTTATTTACTATAATATTAATAACTTATTTACACTGTCTTGTATAGTAATCCGTTCCGATCTACTTTAAAAAATTAAAGCCAAGAATAATAAGCCCGATCATACCGGAAGATAATTAAAGAACTTAACCTAAAATATTAAAAAAAAAAATGTATCTTTTTATTACATAAATTAGTGGGCGAACGATTTGCCCTACCGATCCGATTCAAATTTATTTATATTTATATATATTTCATGGTCTATAGAGGTTAAATTATTAAGTATACATCTGTTTTTCAAATCTGTTCATCAAAAAAAAAAAATTTAATAGTACTACACTGAATTCGTGGTAAACTTAAAAAGACAATTAGTTTAATAAAAACCATAGATATAGCCAAATTTAATTACACGAGAGCTGTCTGTCATATTTCTTTTTAAATAAATTACCGTTTTGTTACACCGCAATTTAATGGATGTGCGTGCAATGTTGTCGCATTACATTGCCAGCGAACGGGGTCATTGAACCTTCCTGTCATCAGCGTATGCACTTTTTATATTTTATTAACTGATAAAATGTTGTTAATGAACTCACAATAATAGGTCCAGGTCCTACAAGAAGGTTATTGCCAAGGCGAAGTCGGAGCACGTTGCTAGAGTTGGCGAGCGACTAAATGAGCTATCCCTCTGGGAGCCGTGCTTTTTGGTCGCTCGCCAAAGCTGCAGAAGGAAACTTTTGCAGGTCTAGTCTCCCACCACTGCGCAAGTCCGTATGACAGTTTGGCCCATAGTGCGAAAGAGAAGGCTGACCTTCTGGTCAAACTCTTTGCCTCGAACTCGACCGTGGACGACGGGGGTGCTACACCACCGAACATCCCCCGGTGTGATAGCTCCCTGCCTGAGATCTGCTTCACGCAGTGTGCAGTCAGGCGGGAGCTCCGACTCCTGGACGTCCATAAGTCGAGTGGGCCAGACGGCATCCCGCAGTGGTTCTGAAAACGTGCGCCCCTGAGCTGACACCTGCGCTAACGCGTTTGTATCGCCTCTCTTATTGCACTAACAGGGTTCCGTCTTCATGGAAGACCGCCCACGTCCACCCTATCCCCAAGAAGGGTGACCGGTCGGACCCATCGAGCTAAGGCCTATCGCGATAACTTCCTT